AAAAAACAAGACAAAGAGTTCTGAAGTTTATTATTATCCCTAACAATGCTAGATAAAGTGGGGTTAATGTTTTATCATTACGTGCAATAGCAATAACTGTACATAAGGCCAACAATTTATAGATTATGGCTTCGAATAGGTTAAAGATCTTAGCATTGGACCGATGGCTGTCTGAGAAATATATACTGAATGTAACTAGTAGCCAGTGAATGCACTGTGTTATATGTAGGATCTGAAATTGCATGCCTCAAACCACAAACATACCGCTTGCTTGCATGTCTCAAACTTTCCTCCAACCTCGACCAGCCGATCTTTCAGCGTGTCAATAATTCCCTTCAGTTCTCCGATGATTTGATCCTTTTTCTGATTTTCCCCTAAAATTGTTTCTTTTTCCCCTTTCAGTTCCAAAATATCTTGTGTAAAAATATCCATCTGCTCTTTTCTTAATTCTAGAAAATAAAAAATTATTTTTGGTTCCAATGTCGAGATACCGATTTCCCGATTCAGTTTCTCCTGTATTTCATCACATTTTCGTACCAATTCGTTAATGAGCTCACTCCTTTGGCCATCTGTCATCTGGGCATTTGCAGTTTCAACACATACATTAAGTAACTAATAAGATCACGTGTACTGTAAACTTATTCCTTGTTGATAACGCACCTTTATTTTGTCTTCATTACCTTTGTTTGGGTTTGATACATTCACTTTAATTTTTCCCACTTCTTTCCGCAAATATTTGTTTTCCAGTTCAAATAAATATATCTGCCTATGCAGACTTCTGATATATTCAGTCTCCAGAGACTTGGAAAATTCAGAGGCACTAAGCATTTCCCTTTAAAATTGGCCAGTAAAATGTGTGAGAAGCATACCGTCTGAGTGAATCTGAGCTGAGAGTAGCGTAGCCTTTTAGGCAGTCTTGCTTCTGAACAAGAGAACGATATTTTCCGGGTTCCGCTTTTGAAAGGAGACCTAATGAGCTCATGCTAAAGTTAAGTTTAATCGCTGTTGACAATATTGCATTCAGCATGATGATTTATAAAAGTAGAAATAAGACTTCTGCCTATCCTTTCATTTTTTTAGATGCGTAATCATTTTACTCAATAATCTAAAAATACTTGCGTCACCTTTCATTATATTGTCAATGAAAAGAATAAAATAATTGTTCAAACATACCAGATTATTGGGCTACTAATCCTAGATAAAATTTTGTAGCGCAGAAATCTGGTATATCTTGATTATTAGGCCTCAAGTGTGCTGTTATTGGAGAGTCCACTGAAATAATAACATAAAACCGTATTTAATTGTTTTAAGCTATTAAAAATAATGAGCAGAATCAATGTGTTAAAAATTACAGCTATATGCTTATGAGTATCCTTTACAAAGCTCTCCTTATGTTGGTCGCATATTATTTTAATTCTGATGCCGCATTATAAAATAACAAGTAAGTTTATACGTTGTTAAGCCAATGAAAAGTCATTTCAATCATGTCTTATGCATAGCTTTACATTATTACATCTAAAACTTGGAGGCAACAAAAGTTACTGAAAACACTATGAACAGGATACGTTTTTGAATACACATATCGTAAAGATAAGAACCCGGTAGCATTATCCCTTTAAAAAGGCGTGTATTCAAACTGATTACTATATTATAGAAAGCAAAGCGTTTTTTAACAAGTTCGGTAAGAAAGATAGGCAAAAAAGGCACATGGCTTGATACGTAGAAATAACCCTGGAAAATCAGCCCCCCCAATATCTTATTAAGACAGTCACAAAAGCGTAATAACTGTAGTCCCTAAATTAGATTGTACAGATAAGTGGGGTCATTGAATAATGCATTATATTGTAGAAGATTGGAGCATATCATAATTAGCGGGGCGTCAATGATGACACTAAAGGACACAGTTGACATATGCTAAGTTTTGCGTAATAAATTTTTTAGCAAAAACAATAGTTAACAATAATAAATTAAAATATTTTAATTTTAAATGATTGATTTGTGCCCACGCTTTCTGGGCCAAGCATCCCGCAAATCACTAATTTTAAATGCTTGGTCTTTCAAACTAACTTAAAATTTACCCTAAATATTGGCTGTAAATTTTTTTTCAACGCTGGAATTGCCTCCTGGGTTGGCGCCTAGTTCCAAAGGGCCGGGTCTCTGCCGTTTGGTGGATGTGGGGCTCTTTCTCGGTTGTGGGCATTCTCCACGGCTTTTGCTGTTTGATTCCAAGTTTTTAGTTGCGTTTCTATGTCTCTTTTAATGACCCAACTGCGACGCTAGATTTTTTCCTCGTAAGTAGTTGTTCTTGTAACTCCAGTGTTATATTAATTGCAAGTTTTGTAAATCTCTTCATCTAAGGGTACTCATCATACCTTATGTTTTTGGCATCACTCAGTGCCAGCATTTGGCTTGTGGTGCAATTGAGGTTATCGTGGTGGTCTTCTTTTTTCACGCACCTGTCTATTTTATCTTCCTACGGTTATGGAGTAGTAGAATGTGGGGTCATCTATGAATTTTCCATATTTTAGTTCAATATCCTATTGCTGGTGATGCGTTGATGAGATTTTTTTACTGAGCCAACTTCTTTTGTTGAATTTATTTATCTCAAGGGTATAACATTGTGCCACATTTGATAAGCAGATACCTGAATGTTGGAGCTCATTGTTTAGGTGCTGCATAGAAGCCGATATTGGCTAATTTTGAGGTGGAAAATCAGCTTATTTTTACGTAACCTAGTTGAACATGGGTAGCATCTACTCTTAAGACTCGGTTACTGGTAAGTACTGGAGGTTAAGTCGTAACTTGTGAGCTACAGATCGATTAACAGCCTTGATAGAAGTTTGAGGAGCCTAATCACACGGACCATCTTTCATTTTTGAGACATGAGGATTCCATATAGTGACTAATTCTAGTACAATTGTGTTTGAGTTGGTGTTTTTTTTACCGATCTTTTTCTTGTAGGTTTGAGTTTAATTTCAGCTAGTAAGTGGACCTTATAACTATGTTTATAATGCTTTAGATAAGACCGACATGAATCTCTCTCGTGACGATTGTATTTACACTTCCCACTACTGGTTGGTTGTTTTTTCATTCTAACTTGCTTCTAGTGAAGAAAATGTATATAAGCTCGTCGAGACAATAAAACTGAGAGATTCGCCTGCCGAGGTTTACGCCATCTTTATATCCAATCGCTCAAAGTAGTCTATTTTTATTCCTACTGAATCATTCTAATAGGAAAGTACCGTTGTTCTTCCAGAAGAGCGGCCACCCCCCCGAGGGACTTCTAGTGTGGGTATGGCATCCTTGACTGACCTAATGCTCAGCAGGATTATCACGTTGTCGCCATTGGGCGCCTGAAGTTTGATCGCACTTTTTGGGTCTACGATCTGGACACAACGCTGGAGTTTCCCTGCGAGGTTACTCGCTATTGGTCCAAAGCAATCAGACCAAATTCCGTATTTGGCCAAGACTTTGAGAGGTTCGCAGTTTACGAATTTATTTATTTAAATAGGGGGTATCAGGAAGAGACGTAATATCACGGTCATTGAATTTTAAAAAATCCGACGATTTTACCCATGGCACTTTTATTATTTTTGAAGATTTATTATTGTTTCCGAAAAGTTGGGCTTTTTTACTTTTAAGTAATAAGTAGGTTCGCTTAATTTGAGGCTGTTAACACCAATTTTAGATACTTTCGGGTTGTGGACGGGAGCATGT